TATTTTGGTAAGATAGATCTCATTACTTACTCTCAAAAAATGCTCTATTTTAAAACAATGCTATTGTTCATGGAACTTTGATTTTAGGGACGAAATGCCAAGAATGTTTTTAAACACACTGTTATCCTTCCCATCAGTTTAGATCAGCCAGACATAACATATGTGAGAAGTTATCTAAATTTTTCAGCAATAAAACTGAGACGATGAAAGCTTTGCTTCCCCTTAGGTATCATCCAGTGTTGGTAACGAAGTTGTTTTCATTCTTTCTTTTTTATTGTTTAAGGCTGGAGCACATTAGCCTTATGATACTTGCCAAAGTTCTACAGCATCATTGTTTGAGACTCACCATATGTGTCTTTGATCCCTGCCCAGCAGGTACCTTGGCTACATGCCAGTTTGGCACTTATTACTATTATTATTTTGATTTTTTCACTTGCTTCTGATTTTATTCATGCTGTCATCGTACAAACCCTTAAACAACCATCTTTGGGACCAAAGGGACTCACAGAATAAGCTGTTTTAACTAGACCTTTCTCCCCCAAGAACTTATCATTCAAGAGGATTGATAGTGGTCAGTCTACCCCATTTTGGGTTGACTAGCCTCTGGAATACAAACCCATCCCCATTCTATTTTTGAGAGGATATATCCTTTGTTTAGGATACAGCCAATGTATAGCTATGTAATTTATTGTTGTCACTTTATATGGAGAAGAGATAGGGAGAGGGATGGGAGTGTGTAAAGAGAGCATATGGCTTCTGTCTAATTTTCTTTTTTGCAGATGCGTCAAAATATAGGAACTCTACCATGAGTTTTGCAGGTTCTCCAAGTTAATGTTCTCAGTTCATTTCACCATCTCCTAGATTCTACTTTTGCATTCCTAGAGGTGAGAGGAATTCCAAGAACTGAAAAATATGTGCAAACAAAGTAATCATAAAGAAAAAAAAATTCCAGTTAGAATTCTGATAAGTATGGAAGACTTAGCTAATGTGAGAGATGCTGGTCCCTCCCCTCAGACACTGATACCCAGGATAAACCTAGGGACTAAATATTGCCAAGAAGCCCACAAAAGGGTACAGGTCTCTATAGCCAGAGGTTGGGACTTTTATTGCATAGGAATGGAAGATCCAATGACCATCTGAGAAAGGGAGCTAACTGAGCCAAGATCATGAGCCGTTGGGTCTCCAAAGTCAGTTCCATTTATATGAGATGGAAAAGGTTCAACTGAGCATGTGAGTGGGAAGTGATATCCCTGTAAGAAAACTGAAGCCAAATTCCATTGTTCATGGTTTTAAGTTCCAGGTTCATAATGTTCTTATGGTACCCCAAGCTAAGATTTTAACAAAAAATAAATCCCAGAACTGTCACACCAAACTCATTGTAAATCCCCACCAAACCAAAGTGAAGCCATTCTGTAGGGATGTATAAGTAACCCAGACAAGATTCCCATTGAGGGGGGGAGCCTTGGGATACCTGGGTTGCTCAGTCGGTTAAGCCTCTGCCTTCCGCTCAGGTCATGATCCCAGGGTCCTGGGATTGAACCCCACATTGGGTTCCTTGCTCAGCAAGAAGCCTACTTCTCCTTCTCCCTCTGCCTCTGTCTGCTGCTCCCCGTTTGTGTGCTTTTTCTCTCTCTCTGTGTCAAATAAATAAATAAAACCTTTTAAAAAAAGCCTTCACCAAGGATCAACTTATATTAGTAAATTACTAACAACATGAGGAAAGGCTTATATAGGAAACAAAACTTTGTTAAAAACAAAAATAGAAATTGACAGAAATAAAACCATTGCGGAAGATTTCCACTAGTGGGTTGTTTTTGGAAGATTAATTAGACAATTTTTATATAAACATTCACATGATTGTATTCTAGCTATCTATCTCCCTTTCAAAAATAAGTAAAAGGCTATGCTTTAGAAGATTATTAAAAATGATTTTGATTATATGTACATGTAGGAATATTGCATAGCCATTAGCATAATAGTTTGAAAGAATTTAATTCAATGTTAAATGAAAAGGGCAGAATAAAAAGCAGAGACAGAAGAATGTTAATTTATTTTCTTTCTGAGAGAAAATATGTTAAAATATTTCTAGCATTAGAGCGATGGTTGAATTCACTGATATCTTCATGAATCTTTTGTGTTTCCCAAAATGTGTATAATATGGAACAAGATTCAAATGATAGTACAGCACGGGAGAGCCCTGGAATTTTGAGAATTGCAAATACTTTGAGATTTCTGCAGTTAACAAGTTTGGAAATAGATAGGAGATAGGACTGGAAAAATAACTAAGAGCATTCTCAAGAAAACTTGAGTGTCATTTTAATGAACTTCTCAGCAAAATTATGAGAAATCTCTAAGAATTTTAAGCTTAGAAATAGTGGTCATATATATATTTTCAAAAATTTCTCCGGCTATACAATGTGATTTTAGGAATGCAAAATAAAACAGAGAGCCAGAACCACCGTAGTAATAATAGCTAAAATCTATTGGGCACCTACTCTGTGCCAGAGACCATGTGTTCATAACTTTATATATTGTAGCTCATTTAATCTTTGCAATAGCTATGTCAGGTAGGATACTTTGTCATTGCCCTCCTATACATAAGGAAACAGAAGCTAAAGAACTTGCTGAAGGTCACTCAGTTTGTAAGTGGTGGAACCATGCTCCCATCTCTGGTGATCTAAAACCATAGTGAAGCCTCTCTCCCTCACTGTGCTATGGTGGTGTCTTTCAAAGAGAAATGTGGCAGAGAAGTCAACAGGAGTACACAGAGAGACAATGGATGGGTCCAAGATGTTAATTGACATCTCTTCTTGAGAGATCGGATTTTTGGTAGCAGCTTAATGAGGGAAGGGAGTGAAGAACAATTCAGGAAAGACAGATACATGTGAATGTTTTGAATGGAAAGTTATTTATATTCACTAGAGGAAACAGGAACTTAAATTGCTTTTAATTTGCAATGATTTTTTGGATCTTATATGTGAAAGACTGAAATGCAATGAAACAGAAATAGCTTAGTTCTGATGCACAATGATCATGATACACCACACACTTTGTGATTTTTAGAAAGTATTTCCTATACTTCTCTGAAGAGCTCAAGTTTCTTAACCTGCTTATGGGGAGAAAGAGCTACATTGCCCGCCACAGGGATTTTCTGTATCTACTCTCATTTCATCTAGAGCTTTCTTGATTTGCACTAACAGGAGTACATATTGAAATTTCATTCTAATGATAAAAAAGAAAGATGTACACTAATGTAACTGTAAAAGTTTATACATTTTCAGCATTCATAATTAACTTTAATATCAAACTGTATCTTCCAGCAAAAGCCCATCTATTTTCATGCTCTTTCATTTGTGAGAGTTAACATTCTTAAGATATTTGGTCCTTATTATTGCTAATGATTTTGGTAATTACAGGAATTAAAGGTTACATTTTTGATATTACAGCATTTCCATATTAAAGGCATTAAGTCTATGTCAACAAATATTTCCATATTTTAAAGTCTTTTCCAAAAAACAAAACAAAACAAAACAAAACAAAAACAAAAAACCAAAACCCCACTATATTACTTTGGTGAACTATTTGGGATATGGCATTTTCTGAAGACCTTCCTATTTAGAAAACTATTAAGCAGTAAAGTTTACTTCTAGGTGTTCTTCATAGCAAAGGAACATATAATTTTGGCTAATCTCAGAAGTCATATTCTCCAAAAGCTTAGACTTCACTATTAACTGTCAGAACTATTTCAAGTTTTAAAGGACTGACTCCATTCTGAAAGTTACCTTGTTTACTGTTGCTCAAATTGTACCTTTTAAATTCTTTCAGAAACAATGTTTCCTATTATAGTATTACAACAGGGAGAGAAAAAAAAAAAAGGTAATAGGCATTGGTGCAACCAGAATGCATTCATTTGTGGAAGAAAAATAATTAACCATTGAGCTCCGCTAAAGGCAACATAGAATAGATTTAGCTCTACGAATTCACTCCTATAAAATTGTAACTTTCAGGAAAATAATAATTGTTTTGTTTTTGTTTTTGTTTTTTTTGTTTTGTTTTTTGTACTTTAAGAGTTTTAAAGTCATCCAGTAATTGGGCAACTTCATTTTAGCAGCTCAGGGCATGTTCTCCAAGTTAACCCTCCTTGGTCAAAGCTGTGAGGTCTAAGATTCCCTTCTCCTCTTTGCCTTTTCCAGTGCTGTTCCACTAAGGAACTACATGGATCTACATAATACCTCTCTTATTCTTTGCCTTTTTCTGTCCTTGACTGATTTATTTCTATTGCCTGTGGAAGGTGGAAGTCTCACCACTTTCCCAAGTAGTAATGATTGTTTCCTTATTCTGGGTATTAAATTCCCTCTAAGTGTGTTTATATTATGTTTTACAAGACAATCTTTGGATCCTTTCATCTGGTTGTGCAACATCAGCCAGCTTCGGATTTCTATTTGCTACAGCGACAGGTAGAGCTGACTGGTATGCCTGGCCATTAACGCTTGGCTGCACACGACTGTTCTTGACGAATGTCTGTTCAGTTGCAAGCTGCTGAAATCACTCTGTTTCAGAGTGGGTCCAGGTGATAAGTGTGCCCATGAAGGAGAGGTGGTAGGGAAATGGTCCTTTCCAGGACCAACCCCCTGCACACCAAAGATTACCCCTCCTTTAATATCCTAAGGATTTATGTAGCATTTTTAGTCCCAATGAATTTAGCCTTTAGGGCTTTAACAATTTGGAGCCATGCATCTCTTAAGCAACTGGATTCCGGTTCAGTGCTTAACTTGTGGTACGAGCTTAAGGACAATTTACTGACTCAACCAAGATACCTGTGACATCTCCCCTAATGTAATACTTTCTATATTTTCTCCTTTATTAGGTTGTGTTTTAACCTTGCAAACGAGCTCAAAATATTTTAAAATAGAGCTTATTGTCATCAAGCATAAACTCAAGTGAGTTCAACGCTGGGCAAATCTACATTAAGCATGAAAGTCTGCAGCTGGAAAGGAGCAAACTCACCGGCACAAAAACGCATGCGCCCTTTCTTTTATTTACACCCTTTCTCTTAAGAGCTGAATCAGGTGAGAAGTCGGAGAGTGGAGCGTGTACAGAGAGCCCGGCACGCTCAGCGCAGTAAGGAAAATGCGCCACTCCTGAGCATCCTTGGGCTCAATTCCTTTTCTTCTCGGGTTACGGGTGCCGCGGGCCTTCGCCGCAGGTGCCTCCGGCACTCTTAGCTCCGGGCGCGGCCGGGAGTGCTGCCCGCTCCCCACCCTCCCGGCGCCGACGCAGTGAGCGGAGGAGCAGGGCTCGTGCTGGCCGCCGGTGGCCTGGAGGGGCGTGTTCTGGGCTGGCGCAGCTCGCTCGGCATCCTTCTCCTCCCGGCTCCTGGCGCCCTCCTATCGCCGTCTGCAGTCCCAGGCCCTGCCATGGGGAATGTGCCATCTGCGGTGAAGCACTGCCTCAGCTACCAGCAGCTTCTCCGGGAGCATCTCTGGATCGGGGATTCAGTGGCTGGGGCGCTCGACCCTGCGCAGGTACCACCTCGCGGCCCAGGGTGTCCCCACCCTTTTGTACACAGCCGGCTGTCTCCCTGTTATATCACCACCGCACCCCAGGGCCCTCCCTGTTATGTCACCACCGCACCCCAGGGCCCTCCCTGTTATGTCACCACCGCACCCCAGGGCCCTCCCTGCAGCAGTTCCGTCTTGTTTAGGCCTCACCTCTTAAAAGGTTCCCCATCCTCTGTGTTGTGAACATGTAGACCCGCCTCTATAGCTCAGACCCAGCAAAATCCCTACCTGTGGCCTTTTGCAGGACGCCTAACGGAAACTGCTTCTTCTCTGTTTTTTTTTTTTTTTTTTTTTTTTTTCCCCTTGGAGGGGCTGCATTATAGAATATGCGTATCTGTAAGCATTCCTCCAGGGACAGTGCCTTTAATTTTCAGTTCCTTCCCTGTACTGTGTAACAAAGGGGACAATGTGTGGCAGAAAGAGGAATGAAGCCAGCATGTAAGGCTAGGAAAACATCATAGGGTGAAATTATCTAGCCTATCATTAATTATCTTTAATGTTTTTATGCTTCAACACACTTGAACAAGCTTGAAAAAACAGCACTTTCAAAGCCAAATTGATATCCCCGTGATTCCGGAATGCCCAGTTTAATAGGCAACTTAATTGTATCCACGTGTTTGCAGTTTACTGCACTCTCAAACAAATGGGAGGTAAATGGAATAAGAAATGTGCTTTTCCTTTTAAAGAGCTCAAAATGTAAAATTCCACCAAGTAGTAACAGTGACAATTGTTATGTGAATGTTAAAGCATGGAAAAAGGGAGGGGCAGTATAAGGGTTTCATTCTTTTTAAATTTTTTGCTGGATGCAGAAATGTTTATCCCGGATTCGTCTTGTGAATAATAATGGATTAATTATAATATTTCAGAGGGTAAACATAACTTGACTCTGTGGCTTTGAATCAACTCTTCCAATACTAGGTACCCATTTTTCCTATAGTTTTACATTCAGCGTATTCTCAGTTTAGTGTATCAGTATGTAAAATTGCGATCTTCGTTCTACAAATAGTAATCTAGCATTTGTGGATTCTTTCAAAACCAATCAGAAGGTACATTGTTCCTCATAACTTAAAAGATGGCCGTGGTCATCCGGCTTGAAGCCTTTTGCTGAAAATGCTTGAGAGGGAAAGTTATTCTGGTCATATGATTCCATGTCTATTGAATTTTTCTACATTCTAATTTGATTTTTTGCTTTTATAATAACTTTGCTTTTATAACTTTTTTTTTAACATTCCTATGCAGTCTGTTATAGAATCAGGAATGCTCTTTTTATTCCCTAAGTCTGAGACTTTACATGATGTTTGTTGCTGTGTTAATACTGTATTTCTCTCCCTCATGTTCTGATTTCGTGGGCTGTGGGGGCAGTGATGGAAGCTAGGCTGCTACCTGAGGATGTCTGCTTTGCCCTTTTAAGATGTGGAAGCAGGGTAATCAAAAGTGACTGAGTGTGAGAAATAGCTCTACCTTCACGAAATAGTGACTTCTTCCCCTGACTTCTTTGCCTGGGAAACTCTTACTCATTTTTCAAACACAGTTTAAATGTCACTTCCTTTAATCAACTCTTTGCTCCACCCAGAGTTAATGCCGCATTTCTGTGCTTCCATGGCATTTTATGCATCATTCTTTTTCAGTCCTGCTCATTGAATTATAGTTTTTTATATGTTGTCTTATTTGACCTCCGCACCATTGACATCTGACACTTAACTCATTGCAACTGATCTTCCTTGGCATCTGTTTAATAACACCTGTAAGTGCTTTAAGCCAGGAGAGTCTCTGGTTCCTTGGTCTGCACAAGTCAGACTCTGTGACCTGTTGCTGTCTGGTAAATGACCAGGTTCCTCATGACTTTGTATCCATACTCACGGTTTCAGTTACTATTTATATATTTGTGTCCTCCAGATTTATATTCCTATCTCCCTCTTAGGCTACAGTCCTGATGTGCAGCTGCTCACTGGACATCATCACTTGGATATTTCAAAAGCAGTTCAAACTCAACATTTCCAAAACTGGATTCACGTTCTCCTTCCTTCAACCCCAGACCTTCCCCAGTACTTGCTATTGTGAGAAAGCATCACAGTCTGTTCAGTTCTATACGCCACCAGGCAAGAGCTCTTCATTTTCATTTCTCCGCATCCGAAGTATCCCTAAGTCCTGCAAATTTAGCTCTTGAATTTCTCTGAAATCCATCTCTTTTTCCCAACTTTTGCTGCTACCACCAATTTTAAAATGGCATTCTCTCTCATGGTCTACTAGACAACTGCAGTCCTTCTGTAACCCCCTGTTCATGTAGCTGGTTGGGAGATGTTGTCTATTTCGAATGGAATCCTGCTGATCCCTCGTTTTATAGCCTGATGTGCATTTCCATTACTTTTAGGAATGAATACCAGAACTTTCAATGTGTCTCTGAAGCTTTCTCTGTTATTTTCATTGCATCTCTTTGCATCATCATCTTAAGGTATTGTCTTGTTCTTGCCAGGTGGCCCTCTTTGAATTCTTAACAATTCTTCCTCTGGAGTCCTGGTCTTTCTCTTTTCCCCTCTGCTGGAAAGATTGTTTTTAATGAATTAACTTCTGTTCACCCTTCAGATCTTAACTCAAATGTTACCTTCTCATCAGTGCTTTCCCAGACTCTTAAAGCAAGCAGCTCTTGTTATCCTATATGGCTCAGTGGACAGTTCTTTATATATAATATGAATTACATACTTATTTTTGTGATTATTTGATGTGTAGTTCCCTACCAGAGTCTAGGTATCATAAAAGTAAGGGAAACATCCACCATTCACAGCAACTAACAGAATGTCTGGTTAGTTTTTCATGGCCAGTAAATGCTTACTGAATGAAAACATGATGGAACGTTGATCTCATGGCTTATGGGGACCATGAAATTCCTCATAGCACTTGCCAAATCAATGATTGGTACCTTGTGGTACCCTGATATATATTAGTTAATGCTAATGTGATGAGAATGAATACTTGATGTCAATACAGTTTGGTCTTTGTGATAGAAGATGGATATTACTACTGTTTATGTCTTACCTTTTCATCTCACGGGAGCTGGTCAGGCTTTGATGGGGAGAAGAGTTGAAAATGGATTCTGGGTGGTGCTGATGAGACAGCACCATGCTTAACAAGTCATTATAAAATCTGGCAGAGAGCATCGTGAGCAGGACGTCTGGAATTTGAAACAATTTGGAAACCGTTGGGACAGATAGAATACTACATTTTGAAAGAATCCTGTGCTAGGCAATGCAAGATTGGAAACCTAGATCTTTTTCTGCTACCAGTTCATTCTGTGAGTTTGTGCAGGAAATATCCTGGCTAGGTCTTAAAATTTCAGTCTACGCATGATAGATAATAATATATTCCTGATAAATTATGAGGATGAAAAATAGTGGAGTTGTGTATGTATAAAAATAGACACGCATACATTTGAAGTCTAACGATTTATTATCCAATACAGAATAGGTGAGTGTGAATAAAAGGTTTATTGTACCACAGCTCCACTAATTAAATTTTTGAGTCTCTAATTTTTTGCTAAGGACACCGATTTTGCAGAAGATTCCTTTCATCGAGCAGGTAGTTAAAATTGATTATCCTATCATTCAAGATATTTCTTCAGGCCTGTTTTATTTTCTATGTTTGTCTCTTTTAAAATAGGGATGAAGAAAAAAAAAATAAAATAAAATAGGGATGAAGAAGCTGGCTTAATTGGTATATTTCAAGATTTTGATTAAATGTAAGGTACCTGGTAAAGTAATTCCTTTTTGATTTGCAGGTGCTGCTTAAGCAGTAGCTAATTTTTTTCATATATTAATACCCTGTTGTGACAATAAAGTTCTCCAGGGCCTAAATTCTAATACAAACAATATTTTAAATGCAGTAGATGTATAAAAGCAAAATTGTAGATTATGTGACATTAAACATGTTATTGTACATTATATCATGAATGATTTTAAGTTACATTTGCTCTCAGCAAAAATTATGGTTTAAAGAGAGTCTTTGGTGTTAAAAGTTCTTGAGACTCTAACCTAAATATATTTCTGCATAAATTTAACCCGAGGATAATGTGACTATATGCTTTTTAATCTGTAGCTATGCAGTTGTTAGTACATTTGCTAAAAACCTTAGGATGACTGGGGAATAATTTTCAGAAAAGAAACAAGGTACCATTCCATTGTTTGTTGTTTTTTTAAATTTGTCTCAAATGTTCTTTTTTCCCTCTTTTCCTCCTATTATGCTTTTTCCCCTTTTTTTCCTTTTATAGCTTCTTTTGAGTGATATGCTTTTATTCATTTTCCCCCTACCATAACTTATTAATTATATGCTGTTTTTACTATACTCTTAGTTGCTATCTATAAGATGTCAACACATGACCTGGACTTCTTAAAATATTATGTAAATTGGTACTTTTGCAACTTATTAAACAGGCATATATAGTATTTTAGCTCCATTACTGACTTCTGCTTTTTATATTGTTGTATATGTTAATTTTATATTTGTTATCTGTATGT